CTCACGCAGGCTCCTCGAGAAACATTTTTTTGTACGTGTGAGCAAAGCCCGCTCTGCAGTATTTCTACATGGCAGGAAGCACATGGTGGACTCAGGGAGGCTGGTGGCAAAAGCCCGAGGAGGCAAGTTTTTCCATGTGGCAACTGCAAGCCCGCTTCCCCAGGCCAGGAAAATCGGATAGCCTTCCCGTGCCTTTCTAGGGGCGGGAGGACAAAGCAGACCTAACACTTCGTTCCTGCCAACCATGAAGGCATCGATACTAGGACGTGCACAAACAGACATTGAAGAGCATCGAGGAGGCTCCCAGTAAATAAGCCCCTGTGTGCTGGTGGTGCAACGTTGCCCATTAGACCATTTCTAGCTGCTGTGGCAGCAGGGGAAATCATTCTGAATAACTACAGGCTATCTGTTTCTAAAATTAAGGGTCTTCAGCCAACCAATACAGGGAAGCTGCATCATTTTGTTGAATAAAGCCTGAAAGTTTAATAGCAGAGAACTTGAATGGCAAGATTTAAGCAAGCCTTAGCTTGTGCTTGATAAACAAGCACGCTGTACCCAAAGCAAAACCATGCAAAACTTTTCGGAGTTGCAGCAAGATGGCTATGGTGATAGCAGCACACAATTACCCTTGTGCTCACGCAGACTTCAGAGTGAAAGGAGCTTGGCCTGTTCCCTAAAACTTCTTGTTAATGAGCATGTCACAAGGCTGACCCCGAGCTGACCGGGCCCATGTGAAAACCACTGTCTCAGTTACAAAAGGAGTCACAGCTCCAAGTGTCCGGAAAGGCATCACCAAAGTGAAAAGGTCCAGCTGCCTCATACCTCTTGTGAGCAGCTACCAAGGCCGCCCGTCTTCTGTCAAACCCTGGGCACACATGCTCTAAATATGGAATAAACATTAATAAAGCACAAGCCGCTTTTTCCCCTCCTGTCTTTCACACCATTAAGGTTCTAGCCTTGAGGGCTCACAGGTAAGCATCTAAAGGTGAAAAGGAGACTAACAGATACCCATATGCAGACAGGGTGGAGAACAAGGTTGCGGAAACACCACCACCGCCCACTTCCATGCCGCAGAGACGACTTCTGCACTTGGTTGCAATGGCCTCAGCAGTAATGAAAACGTCCCCTGGTAAGTCACAGCAGGAGCGAAGGGCAGACAAAACGTGAGTCATCCAGGTGTACGGCAGACAGGGGAATGTGGGTGTGTTACCCTGTGGCTCCAAGCCAATGTGACCTCAATTAAATTTCGGTGAATGATGGGCCTTCCCCTCTTTTATGTACATACTCATCTCCTTGGTCTCCAAAGATAGATCCACTGAGCCTACACACAGCTATTTAATCTCGTGAGCTCTCCTGGCAAGTACGAGTCAACATGCGGCAGTGGCAGCGGCGGTGGTGGTGGCAGTGGCGTTCCTCTTCCTCTCCATGTGAGTTTTGCTCACCGTACCTTGGGTTTACTTTCTCCAGCTGGCACTCCTATCACATCCAGACCCTTGCCAGAGCCCTACGGTGTAACTACTGGTCTGTCCGTCCGCATTTGCAACCCATTCCTATTCTGCCACCTTAGAGCACGCAACCCAATCACGCTCAGGAAGGATGAAAACCCAGGGAGGAATGCAGTTTGCAAATCAGTTAATTTGGAAATTCTTGGACTTAAATGCCGTTAAAGTGTTTGCCAGGGACTTCAGTGGAAGCAGGCTAGCTCTAACGTCTAGCTCACTCCCATAGGAAACCTGTGTAAACTAATTCGGTTGAACCGTTAGCACTCGGGGTGATGAACCGCAGGAGTCTCTGATCTCCCCTTATTAAAGAGAAGGCGAATGATATTCACTGATTCATATCAGCTTAATATAAATCCTTGTGAGATTTGCAGTTGGCTTCAGCAGTGGCAGGATCTGGTAACCTCCACGGGGGAAGAGCAACTCTCTTGCAAGTACACCTTCATGCGACAGGGGAAAGCTGAAGGCATTTGTACTGGATTACAATCCACAACCAAGTCTGCAGCGTGCAAACTTCCAGCCTGGGGTGTGCAGCAGACAAGTGCACAGAAACGCTGCAGCTCTGAGAAGGTTTTTATTCCAATGCCGCTTTTGAATACTTGGCACTTGGTAGGCAGACATGTACCATCTTGTTTCTTAACAGCTCCCTCTTCACATGTTAAGTGTGCTTGAGGGAGATTTGGGCTAGGGTGAGAAGGATTAAGGATGGCTGTAGTTTGACTGCAGAGATCATTCTCTGCCATCAGAGCTTTTCCCTTCAGTAGCTACAATAGCGCTCTGAGGCAGCTCCGGAGGTGCTCACCCATGTCAGAGGCCACCCCTAATAACCTCAGACCCTGTTTTTAGATGCCCCAGCCTGAGCACAGTAGCGCATGAATATAGCTTTAGTAACGCTAAACAAATCTCGTTTTTCAAGACACCCTTACAAGATTGCTTGGTGTTTTACATATGTTTTACGAGATATGCTTTTTGATACCTGTGCTGTTCCACTGCATCCGTGTACAATCTTGCACCCAAGCGCAACTCCAGGACGCTAGACACAATGAAACAGGTGGGAACACAGCCTGCTGTTTCCAGCTCTACCTAACTCACCAGAGCACAACTGGTGCCACTGCTCATTTCACTATTTCCCCCAGAGACCTCCTTAAGAACAAGGACTGCCTCTCATGGGCTGCATGCTGTACGGCAAAAATCGAGTCTTGGCTCCCATCCCAAAGGTATAGGAGTAGCATGTTGGAAATGGTTAAAGGAACAGCAGCATTTCTTTTAAATACCAAGCTACAACCATGCCTGTTCAGGTCTGGAAAGAAAGTCGTATGTGAGGACAGCTTGGTTCAGATCAGGAAAAAAAGAAAAGAAGAAAAACAAAAAAATCAAGTGGGAGAAGAGAACAAAGCCCTGTTTCAAGAATGCCATTGTTCGTGTGACTATAAACCTAGGGTCTATAAAACCATCAAACAGAAACCGAAGTTGGCTGAAGCCGATAATGCATTACTAAATGCTGGAGCATCTTATAAAATTCTTAAGGCTGCATAATGACAGAACACTTGAAAAGCAAAAGAAACAAGTTTCTCAGATGAAATCTTCAGATTTCAGTGCTCGCAGATGCGTTAGGGCGTAGACCTTGCACAGACGTAAAAGGTTCTGAGTGGCAGCTGTACAGGCAGAGGTGATCCTGCCGCCACCCAAGCGTGCGCCGGCGTTATCGAGACAGGACAGCGTGCTTCAGGCACACAGTACGTGCCAGCTGCAACATCGACCTTGGATTTCTCATCCGGAATCCACAGGCAGAGCAACAGAGGAGGTAAAAAATGAGGGGTTTAATTGTAAAAAGTTTTCACACGAAAAATGCTTCAGATAAAGGATGACTCATAACTTTAATTTAGCCTTAAATACTTGCCATTTGCAAACCAAACAAGACATTCCCTGCTACCCATGTTACCTATAAACCAAACCAACAAAGATAGCTTTCAGTTGAGCAAAGCATGCCTAGTAGATAAGGGGTGAGAAATATTTTCTGCATCTTTATGTGACTTACAGGGACTTAGAAAGAAATGGCACCGGTCACCACACAAAGAACACATCAAAATGTGAAATTTAATACCATTCCTAAGGGGCATTTGGGAACAAAAAATTGATATTGCCACTCTTGTTTTAACTCCTGCAAAAATACGAATGGTTCTTGCCTGTAATTTGTTTTCCGTCCTCAGCTTTATTGTTGCATATACCCAAATTCCTAGCTGACTGACATTTTAAACCAGTGGAAGAATAATTTTTTCTTTTTACAAAGAGTAGTGAGGAAAACAGGTCCTATTCATCGGGCATTCATGTTGAAATCATCTCATTACTACACATTTGTAAAGAAACTAGAGCAATGAGGTCCCTAAGGACAACTACAACAAAAACGGTAACCACCTGAGGCATGCAGCAGGCTCACTGCATTTAACCGCAGCAGAGTGAGTGCAACTGAAGGTACGCCAGGGACCGCACAGCAACGCATCTTGAACGTACAGCTACGCGGTCCGCAGCCTCTGCATGGTCAGCCTTCCCAAGTTAGGTATGCATACCAGGATTCCTACAGGAATTTTGGCTCTTGACACTGCCGAATTACTGAATTCCCAGGACAGAGCAGGCTTCGAAAGAAACTCCATGTAGTTTATTGTTAAAAGGTGTTTTATGCACGCACCCTTCATTCCTTGAGTCAAGTTTATTCTTTGCGACATTACTCAGTTGATTTTCATTCACTCACATGAAAGAGGTTACACCAGCTCATCTGAGAAGCCCAAGAAAATGGAGCTTGAAATTTTTCATGCTGAAAAGACCACTCAAAATTATAGAATTCGTTGCCTTTGAACATGCCAAGTCTAATGTCCCCAACAGATGTATTTCCTCTAACAAATAATTCAAACTGAGTTACCTTAGAAGTGGTAAATTACATTTTCATCATGCAGGTGAGATAAGTGACAATTCAATATTCAGAGCAAAAATTTTCAGTACACTTTTTTCCCCTAAAAAGATGTGTTACATCAGCACTGCACTTACACAATCCTATCTTTCAGAGTCTTGAGACTACAAGCCTTCGCTGCTACCACTGCCACCCCCCCTTGCCTTGGGAAACTGAACTACTAACGAACACTTAATAACCTTTCTTTGGACATACACATGCACAGAAGAAAATCAGAGCAGCCATTCAGAAAAAATATTATAGGTTTATTTAAAACTTATTTTCCACTTGAATATGCAAAATACAAATTCCAACAAAATGTTCATTTTTACTTTGTAGTTTACAAATATACAAAATAGAAGTTTGCTTAAATTTATATTACATATTTATTATGTAAAGAACTATATAGAAAACATTTGTTCTGCTTAAGGCATGTTTGGGAATAAACCATTGTACAAACTATTGCACATCGAAACCACAGTGCATTACAGACTGTCTGCATAAAGTCCTTTTCTTTAAAAAAAGATAAACCATAATTTGTACCTGAATTTTTCCTCCTCTTTTAACATCGTTAATGGCTTTTAGAAGGAAAAAAAAAGGAAAGTACAAGATGACATTTACATCTAATATTGCATTGAAAGAAAATTAAGGGAATGTATTTTCCCTCCGTAATATCCCCACCCTCCGAACTACACACAGTCTGTTTAACCCTGATATCCGTGACTTCCAGTCACTCCTTGGCATTTTGTAGTCCGGAAATAATTCAAGTTGGATTTACAAATGGAATGATAGAAGATCCAGTCATTGACCCCAATGCTTTTGGTTCTCTTTTCTTTTAAATGCATATATATAAAAAAAAAAGTTGCAAAGTCTGTATGCAATTATCCCTCTTTTCCACTCTTTGGAAGACTTCACCTTGATTATCTGTAGTGCTTAAACGGTGTTCTCCCCATCTTGCGGAAGACAGTCCTTGTGCTGTAAATACTGAATCTCTAGGGCAGCTGGGGAAAGATCCATTGCTTCCAATTAAAAGTGCCTCTTCATGTGTAAGGCGAGGTGGTCCGACCTGGAAAATGCTCTGTCACACCGCTGGCACTGGAAAGGGCGGTGGCCTGTGTGTTTTCTGTAGTGACGAGTAAGTTCATCGGATCGGGCAAACTTCCATCCGCAGCCTTCCCAGTCACAGTGATAAGGTTTCTCACCTTTAAAAAAAGGTAGAAAATAAAACATGTCAGTTAGGTTTTTTTCACGGCTACCACTTCTAACACCTTTCTTTCAAGAAGTACTAACACACATTGTCCTGGGAAAGAAAAAGGGCCATGTCAAAGAAAATGTAACAAACTTCTCGAAGCAGTTGCAAGCAAACTACAAACGCTAACAGAGTGAGACTGTCTTTTCAAAACGTACAGGTACTATAAAATGTTGGCATCACCAAAATCCTCACTAAAATGCTCATTTCCACTGTTTGTCTTGCGCACAAGGCTTCAGAACACACAAGTTCAGATAATAATAGAGTGTGTTTTTGCCGGCTAGTGTTATTATACAATAAAACAGCAACCAGAAATAGCTCATCAGACATAATCTATTTAGATAATTGTAGGTCTCGAGAATTAAAAAACAGCTGGAAACTGTTTTCATTAGCTCAGCCTGATTAAGAACTCAATCTTACTGTCTTCACTATAACAAAACCACTGTTGACGGCAAGACAAGTTTCCCTGACAATTACAAACTCCCGGTCCTACACACACTGGAGACAGTGCTGACCGGCTCGGGGCAGATGGGAAGTACTGTTCACTTAACTGATTTTTTTTTTTCCCCACTGCCATTAGCTGAAGATGTAGCCCAACTATTGCCTGACCAGTAGTTTCTCCCTTTCCCGTCTCTTCAGAAGAAAGTTTTGAATGAAGTTCACAATCCAGGGATTTAAATTATGCAAATTCCCAGGTTATTTAATCACTGTTACGGAATGCCCGCACTGGCAAAACCGCACACGATGTACCTGCTTTCACAAGTTCAGTTACTGCAACATCACATTCAGCTGCAAGGTTAAAGTTTGAACTCTGGCTCAGACACACACTTTGGCAGATTTTATCCGAATTCTAGCAGTAGCCAATCAACTGTTAAACTCTCGCCTCTTCGGTGCTAGTGCAGAGGAAGATGTGCTCCCACGCGTGGGCGAGGCACCCCATCAGGGCTGCCGACACAGCCGAAAGCCCCACTCACAAGGGGCCCATCACGGTTTCCTCAGAAAGGGAACAGCGGCTTGCAGAGGTGCACGATCTCTTGCAGTAGAGCACGGCAAGACATGAGGGGTGCGTGTGCAAAGCATTTAACCACAAGCAAAGAAAGCAGCACATTAGAGAGACGTCTGTTCCCGTCTCAGGAGTGGGCCAACACCATCTAGAGCAACAAATCCCACTGACTTCCAACTACCTGCTAATTAGCTAGCCACATAGCAAGAGAGGAGCAACAAACTTTGCCTTGGCAAGAAACCCACCCGCTCCCACATCTGAGTCATTCTGAACCATTAAGCAAAATGCCGAACCAGTAAGCAAAGATTGCACAGGACTTCATGTAGCCAAGGGGGGAGGAAAAAAAAACCCAGAAAGCCAGCAGAGAAGGGTTACGACTTGCTACTTTCAGCCCTTCGCCTGTGCTTCCCGCTTTTCACTGTCCAAGGGGCTCACCCCGTTCCCCTCAGACCGGGGCATCCCACCAACGCTGCGCTGGGACTAACCTGTGTGGGTTCTGAGATGTGCCTTGAGATGAGAGCTCTTGGTGTAGGTTTTGCCGCAGCCTGCGTAGTCGCAGGTGTGCGTGGCAGTCCTTTTCCTAGGCCACGACCGGCGTCCCCTCTTGGGCTTGGTCTCCTCAGGCAGGCAGCTCCCCGGCGGCATCAGCTCTAGAGGCGGACAGGGAGGAGTGAGCAGCACCGCCGCGGCCAGCGCCAAAGCGGGCGCCCCAGCATGCCCGCTGCTGAGGCACAGGGACTCACCTTGGTACTGGAGTGTGCCGGGCGGCAGCTGCTCGGGCAGGAAGGCAGGGTAACCAGGGGCCGGGGGGGACCCCGGGGGCAGTGGCAGGGGGGGGGGGG